TGTCTGTACGAGCAGACTCCAATGTGGCTAACTTGTGCTGGGCCTTGAAGTGAGTAGCCTTTCTCAGCGTCTGTCGAGTGGTGTATTCATTTGAGCGGATGAGGGGCTTAGTGGTCATTTTCGAGGCTGGAATAAAAATCTGAGCTCGGACTGTCAATGAAGAATCCGACAGGATGTGGGCTACTCTTTTGTTGTTCTGAGCAGTCAAGGATCGTGGATGGAGCGGAGTGTGTGCTGAGTATAATTATCAGGGTGCCAGATAAATCTTCGAATGCATTAAGGAGAACGACCAAGTTATCGTGCGATTTCTAGATTGGAACGTTCATTATCATGCAGAACCTTGATCTGAGCTTGCTCATCTTCAGGAAGAAGTATGGCGCGAATTGACATGATGACGAAATGAAAACAGCAAAGTCGGATTGAAATCGGTGGAAAATTCGGCGCCAAAATCTGATCTTCTTCAAGTGTGCACATACTTTTGAAACAAAGAAAAAAATTTCATCCAAAAATTTTTTCCGAAAGTGAGGCGATATTATCTGCTTTGCTTCCATTGATAGGTTATCGACTACGAGAAATCGATTGAGAAGGATTTCATAGCACGAAACCTCATGGTTCCCTTTCAAACGTGAATTTTGAGGGTGTGCACATACTTTTGAAACGCACTGTACAAAACTAAAAAAATTGTCTAAAAATACGGAAAACTATTCGGATGATCTGGCTACTTGTTTGTATAGGTTTTTTATAGAGGCGGTTCTGATTCTACCAGTTGCGATAGACGGCTTTTTCTAGAAGCCGAGATATTCATATTTTTGGGGGGTGTCCTATGATTTTGCAACGCACTGTACTTCATATTCACCAAGGAAATCATCACAGTGGAGTGAATCAGACACTATGCGAAGTGCGACTTAACGTCTGGATATCAAAAGGTAGAATAGCAGTCAAGCAGGTCATCAATAACTTATGTTACCATTGCAAACGGTACAAGGCTCGACCATTCATGCTGCCGGAATTTCCAGCACATCCGGAAAGAAGAGTAAGAAAACCACATTACCCATTTGAAAATTGTGGGATGGATTACGCAGGACCACTATTTCTACAAAAACGAGAGCAACACCAACTCAAAGTACTGGATTCTTCTACTTTCCTATCTGAACACCAGAGCAATCTACGTGGAAATCGTTCCCGACATGTCATCAGTAACTCTGCTGCAGGCTCCACGTCGATTTTTCGCGTCTATTGCATACCCAAGATGGATTCTATGTGACAACGCCAAATCATTTCAAGTCATCGACGAACTTCAGAATTCGATAGACAAGAGCAAACGAATGGAACGCGACGTGATTGACTTTTGCACACAAAGGAATATTGAATTCAAGCTCAAACCACGTTTTAGCTCCAGGCAGTGCGGCTTGTATGAGAAACTGATCCACATCTTCCAAATATCGTTCAAACATGCTTTGAACAATCGTGCAAAATGGAGGAATTCAGGACAATAGGTAAAGAGACCGAAACAATAGTCAACAGCAGACCTCTCACCTACGTGGAAGAAAACGATCAGGACACGCCGCTCCGTCCAATAGACTTTCTGAGCCCTTGGACAACTTTATCACTCCCTCGGAAAAACGAAGAAACTAGCAAATAGGAACGACGACGAGAAGAATTACTGGAAGATTGGAAATCAATGGACAACATGCTCAACCGTTTTTGGAAGAGATGGGCCTCTAAATACCTGACAAATCTGCGAGAGAATTACCGCGTGACTCACCCACGCGGTACTTCCTTGAAATCCAAGATAAGGAAAGGGAAACAACTCTGAGAAAATCAACACGGAAAGATAAGCCGCAATCCTATCTCGGGATCCTATGATGACGCGGTCAGAAGTCTCCAACTCCTTCAGCCATCTACTTGCAGTTGCGTTAATCTTCATAACCATCACATTAAAGCGAGGGATTACGATAAGTTTGGACTGGGTTCATAGTGGAAGTGGAGATGCTGAATAATGCCCCAGTGGCGAAAAAAGCAAAGAAATCCGTCAAGAAGGCGCAAAATGGGACCCCTTTCTTTGCCCGTTGACCTCCGATAATGGACGAGCTAGCAACCAATTAGGAGGTCGTTTGCACATGTTATGCTAGCCTCTATCATTTCAGCAAGATCATGCTTTGATTGATCACGCATCCCAT